CTTATTCGACGCATTCTTGATGGCTTGTTATCGCAAACTTTAACCACCCGCCTGGCATTATAAATGCCAGACCCTTAATTCCTGCTTCAAATGATCCTGAATCACCTGACGTTCTCTCACCTGCAATGCTTCTAAGGGTGGTGCTATTCCTACACCACCAGGAGACTTTGAACTCAAAGACCTTTACAGGGCCCAGTGGCAGCAAGTTCAGGGTCTTGTGGATTGCTTTTGGAAAAGATGGAGACAAGAGTATCTTCATACACTGCAGACATGGCAAAAGTGGAAGGGAGAAAGGGTGAATTAGTCCTCTTGAAAGATAATCAATTAAAACGCAATGAGTATTGGTATTGTGGTCAAGACCAGTCCCAGTGGGGACAACAGGATGAGAAAGGCTGAGGTTGACATTGTGAAACAAGGTACTGTTAAAACATATCTTAAGCCTGTTAGTGATGTAATAGTACTTTTATCCAACTCTGCCATGAATGTTTGAATCAAGCGTGGTATATTTTCTTATATACCAGACGGGGAGTGCATTGTAATACTAAAAGATTTCTTAGTATCCTATTTTCTGTTATCTTACCACCCCCTTGTGGTAGTATTTGAGTTAGATTATGTTTGATTAAAGTTCAGTTTGTCCAGCATTTTTCGGCGTGCAACGTGGTTGAGCGACAGCTTGTTCAAGTCTTAAGTATCTTTGTCTTTTCACAAAAACAGAGAAATAAAAGTTCAGACGACTCACCGTTTTTTTGTTTGCTATCTGTCTCAAGCAGTGCACCACGCCTTTGTGAGGACAGAATACCCAGTGTGAGAGATGGTGCACAATGTCTGCAATAATTGAATTTTATTTCAAACAGATTTAATTTAACATCACCCAGCATAGTGGAATCCTGTGTAAGTCTAATCTGTCTAATAGGTTTGTGCCTCAGTAAAATGTGTCTTGAGTGGAAAGAGGCATCAGTGCAGTGGCTTCTCATTCATCAACACAATGCTGCCTTTCTGCATCACGGAAGCAACTAACTGGCCTGCAAACATTGCTGATGTAAACATCCAGTTTAGGTCAGAAAATCCTTCTGGAGTATGGTACATTTAAGAATCCTTCTGGTGGGATAGACAGTGGTGAGAAAAAGTGTTTGTCCGTGAATCCAGTTGAGATGCAGTGGCATGACTTCTAAATGGAGGTCTTTACTTAAAAAGCCTCAAATGTGGCTTTTTAAGGATAGACCTTATGTTGTACATAAAGCCATGCAGGTCTCCCAAACAATTAGAAGTGTAGAGGAAACCTGTGTAGGGTTCACCTTCATCTATCATTTGTGTTTTTTTTTAAACATTTACATCCAATTAACATTGAAAAGATGATAAATTACATGCATCATGGTTTAAGTGGAGAAATCCAGTTAGGACTGCTTGCTTCAGGTTGGTGGGGATCTGTAGAATCTCAGATTTTCTTAAAGAAAGCCAAGCAGGCTGTCTTCACAGAAGCTGTTGGTTATATAATTGAAGTCTGATTGCATGTATATACCTAGCTGACTTAAACAGATTGCTTTGTGGAGAAAGCCCTTCTACTCCCTGTGTGTATTTGCGTCACTTCAGAGATCTTAAAACTGTCAGCGTGATGTTTCAAAGAATGTTTTCTATTAATTCATTCTCTGACATTCTATGTCCTTTTATGAAGGACATAGAAAATAAAATTTCTAAGAAAAGAAGAATATTATGTCAAGTCTTCAAAATGTATTTTCAACACACAAACAATATTTCATTTTATACACAACCAAACTGCTGATTGAGCTTCAAGAAATAATGGCTAAAGAAGCTGGCTGTTCAGAGTGTAGTGGCCAAAAAAACAACCCAAGATCTAACCAGCTGTGGTTCATAGTACAGCTGGAGAACTGATAGCTTGACACAAGGAAGTACAGAGTTCTGGGGCTGAGTTGGACTCGACGTCTTCAGACCTATCAAAGGAGCCTATACAGGGTCATGTCCAAATTACAGAGCTCGTAGACCAAGAAGAGGAGTTCAGAAAGTCATGACAAGCTCTGTAGATTGTGTTAATGCCACTAATGCCAGTATCTAAGAAGCAGTGGACAAAAGCCAGAAGACCACAGAAACCCACAAAGAAGAAATTGTGACCCTTAAAGTGCATGAACAGATTTTGCTTTGTGCTTTTTTGATCTGTATGCACTCGACTAAATGAGTCTATGTAGTAAACAGATATGATAATGTATAACAATTGTCATATTGTTATACAAACTCTCTCTGGAGTTCTTCTGCATCTATTGAAGCTTGTAAACATTAGTACTTCATCAAGAGGTTTACACTTGCAACACATTAAAGGCAGCATTATGTAAAACAGTAGGTACAGTGTATGAATGACTTATCAAAGAACATATGTTAAATAATCTCTGCATGCATTATTTATCTCTTTTACAAATCTTAACCCGGGGGTCGGCAACCTGCGGCTCTTTAGCACCGCCCTTGTGGCTCTTTGGAGCTTCATCAAAAATGTTTGAAAATGGGAAAAGATGGGGGTAGGAAATATATTTTTTATTTTAATATGGTTTCTGTAGGAGGACAAACACGACACAATCATTCTGAATGTTTTCCAATGCTATAAAAATGTGTAGAAGAAACATTAAATTTTACAATTCTTGGACCGAATCATCTGCATTCGTTGCCAGTGTGGAAGGATTGCCTGAATGTTCGCTCTGCAGCGACAAGTTGTCAAATAACTAAAAGAGTACTGTACTTTCCGGAGCGCACCTTAATAAAAGCCGAAACTACGAATTTACATAAATAAGGGATACAGTAATTTTCATCAATATACATTTAGAATGACACTTAGCGATATTATTTTGTGTTGTTGCTCGGGTCGGGTTGCTCATGGCTGCTTTGTGTTACTGTTGCTCTGATTTGCTTGGTATTTGCACAGAAATTGAACTTAAACTCTTAATTTTATATACTTTACGTTTTCAAAAGGCTGCCGTTTTATTACACTCCGTTTGTAGTTTTTTTGATCACACACTTAACGGTGATTATTTACAAAGAGCGATCGTCGTTATGCAAACTGCATTTGGGGGCAGATTTTCCGTGTTCCAAAAAGGGAAAAAATGTCACTTTCCCTGTCGCTCTTCATAATAAAAATGATATCAAGAATCTGATTTCTTTATTGCGTTTCTTTAATTTTGTAAATGCATTCATATTGTAACAGAAGGTAAACTTAAAGCACCGTCGTACAACAGAAGAGTCACGTGATGCAGGGAAAATAAACATTTAATCATGAATACTAATTATGTATACACTTTGTCATTTTGATAATACGCTAATGTAAACACCTAGAGCCTGTTTTGTCTTCATTATAAGCCTTATATAAGGCTTTTACTTTTTTCCGGCTCCAAACAGATTTGTTTTTTTGGCTCCAATATGGCTCTTTCAACATGTTGGGTTACCGACCTCTGTCTTAACCTGTAGTTATGGTTAGTATCATCAAGGTGTGGCAGACTGAACTCTGGCTCTGACTAAGACTAGGTTGCCAGGCTGTCAGTCAAAACCTTGAAAGATGTGTTCCTTTTTGAGCTGGTTGTAAGCATAGTGATGTAATTATCTATTATTTATGTTTTCATTCAGGCATTTTGGAAAAAAAAAATACTAATTTGTATGCTTTTGAAAAATATGGAAGCGTTTAACGAGGAGATATAAAGTGGGTCACTAGATTGCTTTAGGAAACATGGACTGTTACCATGACAGCTGCGTTCTAGATTATGATTTGTTTGTAACAAATTCAGTAATAATGCAAAGATCAATATAACCTATGATTGGTGTATATTGAGGAATGCTAAATAAATGTTAGCATTACTGAAAAGTAATATAAGCAATGCGGTTCAATATACCACACATTATATAGATTAATTCCACTCAGACTGACAAGCCTGTATCTAATAATTATGCTGATTTTTTATTTACAGCTGATGAAATTCCGTCTGTCTGCCAATCAATCTGAATAAAAATAGTGGGATGAAAAGGTTAGGAAAGAGAAAATAGAGATGATTTAAATGGGCCTTGAAGGACATTTTGTGCTCAAATGAAGAATTATAAACTATGTCCTTAGAAGATATCAGCTGCTTCAATACAAGAAATTAGTAATTAGACCCAAAAACACGCCATATGTGTCTCCCTGCCTCATTTTCTCTCTGGAGTTCAACCTACTGGCACTAAATCAAGGCCAGACTTGTTATTAACATGCATGTGTGCCATAGTTTCACAGTTTTGTTCAAGAAAAAGCTCTACTGATGAATCTGCCTCAGTGATGACAGAGGGCTTTGAGACCTGGAAGTGTGTAAAACATCTAACAACTGCACAGTTGTTAGATGCAGCAGCTGTAATAAATATGATTCAGCTGTAATAAATACATCATGTTGTATGGTTCAGCTGTAATAAATACAAGTTGGTCTGGATGTTTTATATTTTCTTCTCTGTGTGAGTTTTTATTCAATTCTTTAGAATGTTGCCTCCTTAGTTTAATTTTTCTTCTTGAATTTATGTCCTAAATAAAGAGCTGAAGTCAGTTTTACAGATTTCAGCTCTCTTTTCACCTTTTAATTTTAGGTCCTTTATCAGTTTTTTCTCTGCTTCTGGTCTGGTGATAAGTGATAACTGTTTCCTGGTGAGAGTGGGGGGCAGAGCTTTGCTTTAGCTGCAACAAACTATTCCCATTAACATTTCACATATAACAGTCATGTTTATGGATCACACCAAAAATCCTCAACCGTATCCATGTCACTAAAACAATAAAACCTACATTTCCACCTGACCAGTAGCACCTTGAGCTGACACAGCCACAACTTCACAGCGGCCCATCCCTCTAACTGCCTAACCAGAATCTAACTTTTCTCCCCAGAGCCTCCGGATGTTGAATTGGTGATTTTTATGCACTAACAGCCGAGATAAAAAACTGAATAAACTGAATAAGGCTGTCATCTCACCCAGTCATGTGTTTCTCCTGGTAGATGTATGTGACCTGCACGGTCCAGGCCAAGGGGACACACCTGGCCAAGCCCGTCATGTCTCTGGGGTTCATGTGTCTCGCCTTCCTCACTGGTCTGAACCGTGTGGCGGAATACCGCAACCACTGGTCGGATGTCATCGCAGGTTTTATCATTGGCATGGCGATCGCCACCTTCCTGGTGAGAATCACACATTTTTGTCACTATGGAAACATTTCTGTTTAGGAGAAGCTAAGTCCTGTTCTGGCACCATTTGAACATTTTAACCTTCACGCTGTTGTTTTAGAAATATGACACAGTAATTCATTGTTCCAGGATACAGAACTACAGACATTCTGTTGAGTTCCTGTATTCCCAGCAGAAAAAAAAACTGTCCTCATTTTCCTGACAGTAGGTTGGGCAGGGGGAACCATCCATTGCCTCCACACAACACCACAACTCGCGATGTTGTAATGTTTTAATTAGAGGACCAGAATACGAGTTGTGAGGAGTTGGGACTGTGGTTCAGCTTTGTCAATATTCATATTCTAATCATCAGTATTTCTCAGTTCTGGTCCTCATAGAGGGCTGCACAGTCCTCTATGACGTAAGCACTGTTGCCTTGTAGCAAGAAGGTTCGATTCCCAGCCCGGGGTCTCTCTCTCTGTACATGCGTGAATTCTCTACGAGTCTCCTCCCACAGTCCAAAAACATGACTGTTAGGTTAAGTGGACTCTCTAAATTTTCCCTAGGTGTGTGTGCATGGTTGTTTGTCCTGTCTCTGTGTTGCCCTGCAACAGACTGGCGACCTGTTCAGCTAACGTTCTCGCCCGGAACGTTAGCTGGAGATAGGCATCAGCATCTCCAGATCCCACTAGGGACAAGAGTGTAAAGAAAATTGATGGATACTCATAGACCTTTCCTTTCCGTCACACTAATTCAAGTCAGAATTAGTGGTTGATAAACAGGTTTCTGCATGGCTGTAGAGGAGCTCATGCAATCATTTGAATTAGCTGATCTGGACCAGAGAGACATCTCAGACATGTCAAATACTTTTTGTAGTGTTGTGAAAAAGGACTCCCCCTGTCATTGATATATGTTAAAAAGGATTTCATTAGAGGGATTATTCATAATCCTTAACAATATCTTTGATAGTTTTATTCTTGATATCAGACAAAATTACCTCTCTTTGGACTGCCACCTAATTGTGGTGGAGGAGTTTGATTGCCTTAATGATCATTGGAGCTATGCTGTCTGGAGCTTTATGCCCCTAGTAGGGTCACCCAAGGCAGACAGGTCCTAGGGGAGGGACCAAACAAAGCGCAACCTGAATACCTATGATAAATGAAAACTTTGGAGGTGTTCCCTTGCCCAGACGTGAGTCACCGGTCCTCACTCTGGAGCCAGGTCTGGAGGAGGGCATGATAATGAGCACCTACTGACCAGGCCTTCACCCATGGAGCCCAGCTGGGCTCAGCCCAGGTACCCTCTCCCATGGGCCCATCACCTATGAGAGGGGCCAAGCGGGTTAGGTGCAATGTGTGATGGGTGGCGGCTGAGTGAGGGGGCCCTGACGGTCTGATCCTCGGTTGCAGAAGCTGGCTCTAGAAACGTGGAATTTCACCTTTCTGGTGGGGAAGAAGCCGGAGCTAGTGTGTGAGGTTGAAGAGTTGCAGCTAGAAGAGGTTCTCAACTCGACGCATGGCTCTGGTTCTGGAACCAGTCTCCTTGAGAGGGGCTGGATATACTTCCGCTCTAGAGTTGCCCACGGTGAGAGGCATTGGGCATGAGTGGGCCCAATGCCTCTCCATCTGAGTCCATGGTCTTGAGCCGGAAAAGGGTAGAGTGCCTTCTCCGGGTTGTCCTATTCAAAATGACAGGCGGATTGGTGTTGTGTCTGCTATGAAGCGGGCGCTGTACCGGTCTGTTGTGGTGAAGAGAGAGCTGAGTCAAAAAGTAAAGCTCTTGGTTTACTGGGCGATCTACGTTCCCACCCTCATGGTGCTCATGGTCATGAGATCATGGATACAAGTGGCCAAAATGCATTTTCTTTGTATGGTGTCTGGGCTCTCCCTTAGAGATAGGGTGAGAAGCTCGGTCTTCCGGGAGGGACTCAGAGTGGAGCCACTGCTCCTTCATGTCGAGAGGAGCCAGTTGAGGTGGCTCGGGCATCTGGTCAGGATGCTTCTTGTACACCTACCTGGTGAGGTAGGTACTTCCTACTGGGAGGAGGCCCAGAGGAAGACCCAGGACAGGCTGGAAGGACTATGTTTCTCGGCTGGCCTTAGAGCGCTTTCTGCCAGAAGAGCTGGCAGAAGTGACTGGGGAGTGGGAAGTCTTGGCCTCCCTTTTGAAGCTACTACCTCCGTAACCCAACACCTGGTAAAGCAAAAGAAAATGGATGGATAGATTTATCAGACAAAATTATGCTGAATAAATATAAAAAAGTAAACATAAATACTTTAATGATCACAAAAGAAAATGAAATCTTGTTGCATGTTATAATCCAGTTGTCTTCAGAGACCTTTTGTTGATATGGCTGTGGGCAGGAAGGGTCTGTATTACAGCAACTCGGAAAAAGCCCTGACTGAAGATACTGTTTTTCTATGACATATGTCATCCATAGAACATAACCTTTCCTGCTACTCTGTGGTGTAGCTAAGTGAAACATCTGAATCAGCAGCTACTCAACCAAGTGGAAATTGTAGCTTGGCCAGTTTTTCCATAGCCCTGGAGAAGCTCCACTCCTTACCGCAGTGGCACCCAGAGGATGCAGCTGGCACAGAGCACCCTTTGCTTTTCTGCTGTGTGTTTCTGGTAACCATTGTACCATTGCTGTTTCTGTAGGTGGTATGTGTTGTTCATAACTTCAAAGGCAAGCTGCTGCTGAATGGGGACTCTCCTGCTGAGCCGCAGCACAACACGGCCATGCTGAACATAGGCCACTTGGACAGTCCTCTGGAGAAGTACATCGCTTCCCAGGTTGGTGAGCACTTCACACATCAGGTTTGGCAGAATTTAACTTCCACTTTCATCCTATATGGAGATCTGTAAGGAGATCTAGACACTTCTTTATTTAAATGTTTAAATTAATTAGCGAAACATGAAGCACATGTGAACACAATATGCAGAGATTATTTTCTCATTTGGGGAACATGTGGATTTTTTTCTTTGTGATGCCTCAAATGCACATTGCTACTGCAGGAGACAGATGATGAAGATGAGGAATCTTGCTATATTAAGGAGTGCCTCCATGTTTTCCTGCGCTGGCTTCGGAGTCTCAGCTGGTTTCAGCACCTCAGAAATAAAAGGCAAAACAGCTGTGATTTGGTTTGGAAGATGATCTCTGGACAAATCTGCTTCGTCCTCTTTCCTACTCTCTGTTTTCTTCTGCTGCTTGGTTACCCCCATTAACCAGCCACCAGAAGTTAGTTTAGCTTTAGTGGTTGCTTGATCAGCTACTGAAGATAAACCAACTTTAAATTCTTTCAATCTCACTGAAGCGTTGAACTATGATCTGTATTGAACTCTGATACCCTAAAAAAAACTAAGTTTCTGTAGCCAAATTCTGTAGCCATCTTACTTGAAACTACCATTGGAACAGTTTATAACATTTTCAATGTGAATATTCACTGAGAAATCACAGTCCTCCTACTAAATCAATGACAAATGATTTTATCATTTTCCAATTCAGTTTATAATTCTGGTTTTTCAGAGTTTTGATACAGGCTACATGGGGCATCTGATTGATTCTCTGTTCCGTAGCATCATATCTTAATATTTTAATGATTGCCCTTATGATTCATGCTGCCCCTGCTTCCACAAATTTCTTCGATAACTTTCTGACCACCAACAGGAGGCATGATTAATGTAGTGAATCCGATTAAAAACATGCAACTGGAGAAGAAAACCTCCGTCTTTGCTTCCACTTTTTGAAAAATTTACTGACTGAGCAGACTAATAAAGCTTGGTTGTGTTGTATTTGATCAGACTCTGGTCTACTATATGATCCCAGCAGAAAAACAGTTTACAAACAGTTTGGAAATCAAATTTTTGTACCTCTAGAGATTACTTTAAAAGCAACTCTCACACAGAAAAATCTAGAAATCCAGAGAATCTACTGGATATGAAAGTAGGAAATCTTAGAAGATGACTTGTCCAGGAAACAATGTTAAGCAAAACTATAAGTGACATGCTGTACCTTTTTATTAACAGACGTCTTTTCTTTGGTTATATGTTAAGGAAATAAATAAATCTGACCTGAGGTGAAACACTGAGTCAATCAAGAAGAAATCAAAATGCATTTTGATTCTTATTTTATTAAGAAATTAAGCAAAGACAATGAACAAAGACTCCCCTGGCTAATCCAGGAAAGTAGGAAAAGATGAAAATACATCGCTTTTAATATTTAAAAAAAAAAAAAACATACCAATCCTGGGATCCCACCGGTTTCAGTTTAACTCACAGCTCTGGTATTTGCACCTACAGACTGTGACCCTGAAAGTTTCAATCCCAGTTCAGAAATACCCTTTATTATATGTTTCCAGCAAGCTGCCTCCAACAAAGGGTGCTTTATAGATAAAATTGATTGATTGCTCGATTGATTTAAATAAAACAAAGTTTTGTCGTAATTTACATGCTGCATTTACAGCGGTTAACCAGTTTAATTGACCTACATAAGGTATATAAGTTGGAAGAAAGGTAAAAAGTCGGTAACAAGCTGGTTAAAAAACACATTTTTCAAACCAGATATTTCTTCTGTGCAAAGTTGAATCAGATGAAGGAACTAAGCATCAGGAACCGTTCCCATTTTACTTTGACACATTGCAACTAGTGCAGTGTTTTGAATGTCATAAGATTCACTTCATTTTATTTCCATAACAATCTGAGTCGTGTGTGTTTTCCCCTGAGTTCCACACCAAACATAAAGAGAAAATGTCCTATAGTGAGAACCTGCTGAGGTTTACATGTAAATGTGTCTGTAAGGAACCAGAAACTCAGCAGGCGTAGATAAAAGAACAGGGTTAATGAGATGCTTCATTGTACATGAATAGAGGAAGAAAATCTTTCAAAAACATGAGTGTTTCCTGTAAAAACTAACATAGACTAGAATCAGAGGCAGATTCATCCAATCTGAGCACAGTCTGATCAAAACAAACACAAGAGCCCACATTTACTGTCAGACTAAACCTTATTCATTATTACACATCTTTGGTCTGTGGCCCAGCGGGACTTTTCCTGATTTAGAAAATATATTTCTAAGTGATTTAAAAGTAAAATAATTTCACAACCTATTTATCACTTGTATTGATAGAAAGACCTGTGATCTAACTAAACTCAGATCACTCAAAAATAAATGTTTAATTTTTCATCTGTAGCTAATCTACTATTTATTGATGTCCATTAAACAGTTTGAAATGTTAGTTTTCATGTACAAAGTTCCAATTCACAGGTCATCTAAATATAAACAAGGTTCAAGAACTATATTTTGCCATATAGAGTGATACTAAATATCAAACCACATTATCAAAAAGCAAATTTTTTAAGTTATTAACTTTAGCAATATCTGTAGTTTCTGGGCATGTTGGATAATGGATGGATGGTTACAACTGTCAGGTCAGATTTGCTCTCTTGGTTTTTCTACTGATTCCTTGAACCTTAGTGATCTACTCATCATCTTTAAGTTTCTAGATGTACTTAGAGGATCTTTGGATTTACAGCTAACTTTTCTCTTCTTGTTTTTTACTCCAAAGGAAAATTTAACTGCAGAATGTGTTCTCAGTGGCTTGACAAAAAGCAGAACATTTCATGCTTACCTCGGCTAGGATGGGCTTGGAGGAAAATTGCATGATCTAAAAATATCAGAGCCTAAAATGACTGAGAGCTAAACAGGCCACAGTGAACAAAATGCCACAGCATGAGGAACCTTTACCTCATCCAGTATGAACAAGTTAAACCAGGGAACTCAAATATAAATCCTGAAGGTCATGAAGACACTTTTCAAACAGACAGAGGTCCATGTATTATGAATGGTCAACCCACAAATTTCTTTCTACACAAAACGAACACATGGAGATAAAATCAAATTTTAAACTCTCATAAATTTACATCCTTAAACAAGAAAATCCTTCAAAAAATAAAAACAAATGTGACGAGGGGGTTTAAAAAACACTTTAAAAATAAATATGAAAGGGCAAAAAAAGTAGATGGGCCATGGAATGCAATCCTAGGATGTCATGATTGGTGAGTGATGGTTGGACTCAAATTCAGAACAGCAGAGGCGTGGAGCAAGCGAAGACATTCATTGAACATAAAGAACAACACTTACAAAGATCACAGGGAGCCAGGGCAGAATACAAACCTTGACATGAGGAGAACACAATGTCAAGTGGGGAAGGCATGCTGTTAGCTGGCATCCACAAGGCAACCAATCCAGGAGCACCACTCATTTTTTTGCTTTAGCCGAAAGAGTGCATCAAAGAAAGACTGACACCCGTTACAAGAGAACTTGCAAAGTGTGTGAGGAACACACTGAGTGCCTCACTGTTGTCGTTTTCCACACTAAACCAGATAATTGCTTTTTGCTGCTCTGGGTTCTTAAGAAAAGCTACTGAATGTTGCCTGTGCTTGTGTGCAGAACAGTTGTTCAGATTATTATTCTTAGGCTGTCTGATTGTGTTCTGGAAGGGTTGTCAAGTAGGGCTTCTGTTGTCCTGCTGAGGGCTTTTAATCTGCAACAATGATTTACCTTAAGGGTATTGTTTGAGAGGAGTGGCTTCTCAGTGATTGTTCCTGGATTTCTCCTATGTGCACAAAGTGGTTTAAAAATATCCTTGGTTCAAGAGGACCTTGGGCCTGAGGTCCATGACCAGGTTGGTAGCTGCTGCTGCTTATCAGACATTCAGGGTTATGATCTTCAGAGGAAGAGCATGGCGGAACTTTCAGTGAATCACCAGATAATGAGATGAATCTGCTGGAAATGGCTACTGAAGAAACCAAGTACACCCGGACTGGTGAGGGTTAATTGGGAATCTCTGTCCTGAATGTGTCCTGAAGCTACAGAGAGAAACTATAAGCTCAAGGAGAAATTATTTACTTTCCAGAAGGAGATTAAGAATGTAGTGTCAGAATGAGCCCTATCCAAGACCTCCACCGAAGGTAAATGGGTTCTGCCATATTTCCAGCCCTTGGTGGACACCATTGTTGAAGGAAGCTGAAGAAGAAGGCCTCCAGGGATTGTTGCTCCCAGAGACTTTGAAAGGAGACAGATACCGAGTGGTCAGAAGAACTATGACTTTGTGGTTGGGCTAACCTCAGGTCAGAGAGGATTTTTGAGGTTAGAGTGAAAAACTTTTATTTGACAATTTACAGGAGATGGGTCTCAGTTGCGGAGCTAGACTTTTTTTCAAGGGGTGGTTAAAGGGTGAGCAAGGCTTTATCAGAGGGGTCCATATACAAATGGACTGTTCCATGGAACAAAAGGAAAAAAAAATATTTGTTTCCTATCGTTCAAAATTAATTAATATAACTAGTTAGGTTATAATTCAAAGCTTTCATATGGCATAGCCTACTTACATTTCAGTCATTATAAAACTTAATGGTTTTTCACATATTCTTACCACACATTTCAAGCAAGAGCTGGGAGATAAAAAACGTTACAGGGCAGCATGTCACTAAAACATATGTTAAAAGAATCTGTCTAAAACACGATTTATCATCACTAGCATGGCTAATATAATAAACGAGGCACTACGCAGAGGTACACAACCATTTTTTTTTCTTTTTAGAAATGTATGACAAGTGCCGCCTCTCATTAGGAAGGTAACAGTGGTTTCCGCTGAGCGGTAAAATGTTGTAAATACCTGCAAAACTCCTGGTGTACTCTAAAGCCGCGGATGTGTTTTGGATCAAACAGGACCCACATGTCACTTTCAATGGCATCGGGCTGCCTTTAGGGACAGTCGGAAATTACAGTTTTCCTGGCAAATCTTTGCCGATCTCATAAGTATTATATTTTAAAATGACCATTTCCAGTGGGTTGGCAGTAAGGGTGGCAAGTGCCACCCCGGCCACCTCTCTGGCTCCGCCACTGCTGGGTCTCATTCCAGGTTGTGCTTGCTTTGATGGATGAGCTGAGACTATAGTCAGGTAGAAGAGGGAGTACTGAAAGACTTCTCAATCTGGACATTGAGAAGGTGGTCTGCTTGTTCAAGCAGACTCAAAAGGTTTTCCGCGGTTGAACCTGCTGAACCTTGTTGGATGTGTGTTGTAAGTTGCTTGTTTAGGTCAGGTGTCATTCTTTCAGCAGCGCAGTTCACAAGACATGTCGTCTCCAAGAGTTTTCATTTACCTGCAAAAACTGAATGTTTATATATATATATATATATATATTTTGGATAATCTTTGTTAATCATTTTTTTCTCAGAAGAGTTTATGCGGTGCTAGTGACTTGTATTTTTGACAGTAGGCAGACAGCAGGGAGCACGTCCCACGTTTGGAGGCCTCAGTCCTCGATACGGACATCGCGGGTTCGACTCCTGGTCCCGGTGACCTTTGCCGCTTGTCTTCCCCACTCTTCTCGCCCTCTTTCCTGTCTGGCTACTGTCAAAAATACGAGCCACTCGCCCCGTGAAAACTCTTTGGAGAAAAAAATGAAAAAATAAATAAATAAAAACATTGGAAATTCTCTCTCAGGACCCACACATTTCCTTCCTTTGCTCAGGCTCTACTGCCAAAAACTACGTTAGAGATGGTTAAAACTCTTTTCTGCTGCATGTCTGGCATGCCTTCAGATTGAAGTGTTTCTGTGCAATGACGTTGCTATCTTCAAATACATTTCTCGAGTTTGGAACCTGGTGAGCCATGGAAAGAATTTACTATTAAGGCTTTTTGAATAAAAATCTATTTGATCAACTTTGCAATTTTTTGACATTTTTCCCTCATATTGCTGTTTGGCATTGCATTCCTTCTCCCTCTGTATGTCAAAGTCTGGTGCTGAGGAGAACAGACTTCAGTGATAAATTATATTGAAAACAGAGTTTTCCTTCAAAAAACTGATTTAAAGGGTAACTCTTTCTTTCAAATATTGATTTTGCTCTTCTACCTGTTTTCTAGAATCACATCGCCTTCGCTGAGGTCACATGATGTGGAATCAGCTGTATGGCAGACCCATTGGACGTCCACACTCTTTACTGTCCAGTCTTATTAACCGAGTGCACCAGTAAACCATACTGTGTGTGCGTGTGTGTGTTTGTTGTTGTTATTCTATGTTGTCTCTATCAGGCTCCTATTGTCATCCAGTTTACTGAATTCAAAACGGGGCAAAAAAAGCTGAGTAGCAACTCAGTGAGACAGGCTGCTTCTGCTATCCTCCATCTATGCACTTATTCTGAGTTTTTATCAAACTCTTTCCTTCCAAATAAGTAATTTTAAAGCTGTTAATTCTAAAGGCTTCAACAACCAGAATAATTGAACATTTTTACATACAAGTAAAACAGTTTTGTTGCAATGTAGTCGTGTCATACAGAAGCACTCCCATTTTAAATTTTGAGAGTTTTATATGTTAAAAGGAAAAATAAAACATTTTTTTAAATGTGCAATATATGAGCTGGTAAAGACCATATCAGTTCTACTTTATGCCAAACTAATAGCTCAGGTTACACTTTCTGTTTGAGTTGGTGACATGACAGAAAAAAAAATATCTGAACAGCAAATTGACAAATGGGATTTTTACACTGGATGCAGATTCAGTACTTGGTAAACTTATTAAACTCAGACTTAAAAAAAGAACTCAAATATCTGTAAAAAGTTTGATGTCCAAAAATAATCCAAATTTAACAGAAGTTGTCCTCTAGTGTGAATGACTGATGTTAGAGAAAAGGTTTTACTTAAATATGATTAAACCTTTTCAGAAACATTTGTTCCTGAACAGCATTTTGATTACGCCAATTTTTCCTTTCATTTCATTTATCTAATCTCTGTAGAGTTGCACCATTCCAAAAAATTCCCTGTCTGCTTTTAGGCAATATGACCTAGCTTGTTTTGAATAGGTCTGTTTAGATTTTATAGTTATTTGTTTGTTTTCTGTAAAATCTGTCCTTAGAGGTGTTTTCTTGTTTTTTTTCTCCTTTCTTTTTGAGCCAAAAAAACAAACATCTGAGCTGTCCCAGTCAGCACTACCTGGAGCAACACCAGAATGTCCCGCCCCATGCCGCTGCTGTGAATCACTTACCTCAGTTTTATTAAGAACTTTAGAACCAGAACCAGAAAAATTTAGTTCAATCAAATCAAAGTCAGAAAGATGCATTGAAAACATTTGTGTGTATGAATGTGTACACTAAATGGTGGGACTGTACTGTAACAAAATTGTTGAAAACTTGATCAGCCGCACAATCATCTTGTCGTTCTTTCAGTTCATCCTGTTGTTTCAGTCAGGAACAGCACATCCAACAGGACAAAAGTATTCTGTTTCTCCAGTGAAAATATTCATGAGATTTGTCCTCCATGTATTTATGTTTTTTTGAGATCAGCATCTGCAGCATGCTCTACCAGATATTCTTCCTGGGGTCAAGAGAGAGGTTACATTTATGAAAAAAAATCATATTAGAGATGAAGTATTAAAATAACACATTCCATCTTCCCGCATTTTAAAGAAAGACACAAACATTAGTTTAAGTTAGGGGGATAATTTAGATTCAGGTCAGGTCTTCTGAATGCTGCCGTGTTGCTGTTCTCAGAGCTTCATTCCCTGCTGATCTTTCTGTTGTAGAAATTGTTTTTTTCCTCTAACAGCACTTAGAAACTATGATTTACAGTCAGGATTAGTTCAGAAATCAGGTCTGTCTGTGTGCACACTGCTGGACAATTAATTCAGCCTCTTTCTGTTTAATTTGTATATTCAACAATGTTTTTCCAGATGTAAAATGTAGAAAAGGACATTGAGTTCAAAATGAAAACAAGAGCGAAACAACTGATCCTTTTTTAATCTAAATCTATTATATCTAATATTATATATAATATTACATATTATATCTAATATATCCTAAAATATATTAGATATAACAATAAAAGGTTATCTGTGATCGGTTTCACAGTGATATTGATAATCATAATATTGATTTATGACGTGATATTGATTTATGACGTCACAAAACTCCTGAGCTTTTTCGGTTCTCTGTTTATGTTGATCATACACAGAGATCAACATGCAGGACAGTGCAGCTCAGATATCACAGCAGTGAGCCAGTGGAGCTTTACTTAAACTCTCTATGCTATTCAGATGCGTAGAGATGCAGGAAATTTGAATCTAAAATTGAAACTTTCAGCTGCTACATTTGGTTACTACTTGGGGGCATTCTCAGGTCAGCTGACTTTTTTATATATAAAAATAAACTATTCAGAATTACATATCAGTAACATACCCGATAATAATGGAGCAGAGCAATGTGAATTACTCACAACTGATCTAAATTCACCCACAATATTAAAAATGGAATCACGTTAAAAGCAACACACACTGTTTAAGAATTTCTCAGCCTTCATGTTTTATAAATCCCCCCTCACTGCTCAAATAACCTGGGCTGTATTAGGCTTGCTTTGGGTATTAGTGGTGGTACATTTCTATCAACAAAAATTAATAAAACTTTTTTTAAAATTAGAATTTGTTTTTAAAATATCCTGCCCATTTTTTGTTGTTGTTTTTTTTTTTTAGAATAGAACACGTGAATGACTTTGGAGTGGTTTTTATATAAAGACGATCCAATCTCCCAACGCTGTTCAGAGTTTGGACAGATTGCACGCTGCAGGCGGCAATCTGGATGTCGGCCGATTTTCTCCAATACTAGTTATGTTTACATTCAGTTTGTTTCAAGTGATTCAATTTCTGTAAGAGCAGAGTTCTGCTGTTTAAAGTCATATTTTAAAGGTACACTATGTAAAGTTGTTTTGTGAATTATTTCCACATATAAACTTTCTTTATGTGTGCAGATTTGAATCATTCCATTTATAGAAGGAATGTTCCAGATACAGCAATTGAATCAAACAGCAGAATTCCTGCTGACCGTTAAGAAAAACAAATCTTGTTTGCTAAGAATTTATGAAAAAGTAATTGTTCATAAGCAACACACTCAATAAGCAATTGCTCCTGCACACTATTCTGGAAATGGTTATGCTGCCATTTTAAAAGCATTTACCAGCTCTGTATAAATTGAAATTAAGGTGATATACAATCTTTACAAATTACAGATCAGTGCATATAAGGCAATCTTATTTTCTGATAAAACCTACATTCTTACAATGTGCAATAATTAATAAATAAGAAAGAAATCTTCACCATGGTATGACAAAATTTGTGTTTTGGACTGCTGTTACTGTGTGTTTGCTCTTTTCACAAAAGTTTTAAAAAGAACAAGATCAAACCATGAGTCTGGAATATATTATCAATAAACCAATGTTCTTTTTAGTTTTTATTGTCTTTAGTGAGACTGAATGTAACTTTCAACACCTAACATCACGACTTGGTGAAACAATGATGACTGTTTTTAATTGCCTCTTGACCTAATATATTAGCGATGGCAATCACCTTTGTTATGCTGGAAGTTTGACTTGTTCATACCTTAAAAACAGCAGATGTTTTGGTTTGGTTGATTGTTTTTGTCAGGAAGAAAACCTGTTGGGTTCAACTACAATGTCACATGGTGCAGGATGGCAGACTTAGAGGATAAAAACTGGTTTTCTTCATGTTTTGAAAGCTTGATGAAAAAACCTCAACAGTCCACATAAAATGAGATTTATTACACACAATATAGTATTTAAAACGACACAATATGTTTGCAATAAAAAAAGAAAACAATCGATCAATCAATTTGATGTTGATGTAGTGGTCCATAAGGCAAATTAACTTATGTAAATTTAATATGTTTTGTTTTATACTCTTTTTTTCTGTTGAATAAGTTATGTAATGTGTTAATTTGTGGAGGACATGATAAAAGAGACAATTATTCTCAGGACTTACAAACCAGTGATTGAAAGGAAACCCAACTATCCATCCAGCTGCTTCTCTGAGTCAAGACTGGATGCAGAGGTGGCTGGACAGACACAAGCAAACACTGGAGAAAAACTGTCAAATTTTACTTCTCTGTGTCATGTTTTCACTTCCATTCATCCTCTGTGTCATGTAGCAGTAGCAGTCTTTCATCACAGGACAGGAAGAGAGGGATGAAAAGCGATAACCCCCAATACACACACTCAGATCTCTATTTTTGTACAGATGACTAGCAGTTGTGGTTAGAGCGCAGGCAGCGCCATGCCAACAGCAGGAGCTATCACTGCTGATTATGTTGGAAACAAAAATCACACTCCATCACCTGACTCCATTAGTAAAGGTGATCAAACATAAAGTATATCCTAAAAATCAATAATGTTCTTGTACAATTCAAAGAAAAAAAGTGTAAAGATGTTTATGTTAATATATGTATATTACACATTACTGCTGTCTATTTTCCTAAGACTGTGCACTGTGTGACTGTTCCTTCTGGTGGAAACTATTATTGTTTTCCTTCATGTTGATCACACTCAGATATATTTCATACTTTGTTGTGTGAATATTGAGGGTCATGTTTAGTGAGAACTTTTCCTAAATGTTATTCTATTCCTCCTGCTTTGCTCGATCCATACTTTTTATTGACTTGGTTTCTACTATTTCCCACAATCCTCGGGCTGCATAAGATATATAATATCTAAAATATTTTGTCACAGGTGTGGCTGCTCCTTTGATGACATATTTAATTGTATTTTTCCATCTAATTTTCTTATTTCTCAGTGTTCAGTTTAAATTGTGACCTTTTACACTGCAGAAAAGTATCAATCAGAAACTTTCAATAAAAAAATATTTAAATCCTCCAAAACTTGTTCTGTGTGACTTTTTAAAGAAAACACTAACATATTATCATCTATATTTATATCTATACATGACATGTAACACAAATGCTAAATAGAAATTATTTCAATTCAGTCCAGTCAATTTATTTAGCATTAATTCAGGAAATCCAGACTGAGTTACATACAGTCAGTTCTAATTCGAAAGCAGTGCAGTCAAGTTCAATGCTAAAATGATAAAAATGTGTTGAAATAAAGAAGAGACTGTTGCACTGTGTAAGAGATCTGCCATCCAGCCCGTCTCCAGCTGTCACCATGTTTACTTTCTGGATGCTTCAGCAGTAAAAGTAACTATGATTCAGACTAAGTTAACTATGTTAGTTCAACAACCAGAATACTTTGGCACTGTACACTGCAAAACATTTGAAGGTGATTTAAATTGAAAATGAAAGTCCATCTTCTTGTTTGAAAATGCAATTTAAGTCAACAAGAAGGTTATATTGTTTTCACTCACAAATTAAAGTTCAAAATGTTGATTTAACAACAAAAGACAAGTTGTCTTTTTAAGTTAATTAATCTTTAATTTAATGCTGCAATTTAAACCAAATAATTATTTCACAATATGGAAAAAAAAACTTCCCTCACCTAGTTAAAGAGCACACGTTCGCTATGAGTTTTACTCACAATATGAAGTTGAAATAACTACATATTTTACTTTAGAACAATTTAAATTCTAGTTTCAAATTGCATGAACTAAATTTCTGATCTGATAACTTTTATTTAACATTCTGCTTAAAAACGTGTAAATAGAATATTATCCTCAAACTTTACAGACTGAGAATTGCATTTGCAGTATCACAGCAGTGATATGTTGCGAAACATGCTGTGAAGCACTTTGGGAAAAAATTCCCACTCCTGTCTTTTTTTATTTTCTTTTAGATTTTTTTTAAGTAATAACTTAAAAACTTTGAGTTTTTCACATTTATCAAGAGTTGAACTTTGAGGTTCAACTCTTGAATAAACTGAAATTAATAAAAGGTTTGACAAAATTAATTTAAAAATTAACAGCGTATTATTGTAAGTTTATCTTCCATCATCTCACACATTTAGGTTCAAAATCTAAAACCTGCTAAATTTATTTGACTAAAGGAGCAGAAGATAGTAGACACAAGTAATTGCGACTCAAATGTGTTTCACAACATCAATAAAATTATGGTCAGAATGCTTCAGGAGATCCTTCCTGCCCAACAACTCTGAGCATTTCTCCTCGGGACTAATAAGGTATTTTTGAATTTGAATATTGAATCTTTTATAAACTTTACATTTAAACCTTTGAGATCATCTACCTTTGATGGAGATTGGTCTTGTTGCAGAGTGAATAAGCAAACACTTCCTCAGGGTCTACTGGGTTGGATCCATAACCTGCCTTCAGTCTGGCATTGCTTGATCCTCATCATCACTCCATAATGCAATGAGAAAACATTCATGAACCAATGACTTAAGAGACCAGATACACTCCAGACCTAATTTCTGGAACAGATTATCACTTTTTTGATTAAATTTTCATAAATTAAAACAGGGCAATTATCAAACCCTAATAATTAATGATTCAGTCTCAAAGGAAAAGTCATATCAGAAACAAAGTTTCTGGTATATGTTAGTGAAAGAGGATGAATATATGAACGAATCAGAAACTCAGAAACCACTTCATGGAAGTTATTGTTTTATATTTTAACAAAGAGTTGTCACAAAGTATCAACAACATTCAGAAGTGGATTTGATCGTGTAACATATTTCATATAAAATACTTGGACGTTTGAAGCCCCCCCCAAAAAAACAGGGGATTTCACAGCATAAACCCATCAAATGACACATTGATGGGAAGCCCAAAACGTCCTCTAAAAAATGTATGAAGGATAAATAAAAAAAGGAAAAGATCAGACTGAACAAAATGTCCACTACAGGACACACTGTGTCGGTGTTCTGACATAAACAGAACATGTTGGGGCTCATGAAGAGCCCCAACATGTCATGCAATGCTCAAGTCATGCAAATTCAATTAAACTTTGAAATGATGCTGTTTCACTGCAAGCCATCTGAAATAAACAAAGAGGAAATTTTTGCTTTCATTTCTGATCTTTCTAAGCCACAGAACACAGCTTAAAACATCCTGTCATTTTTTTGCAGAAAGTGATGGCCTGCCCTGCTCTGTTTCTGACATTATGTGAAGCTTTCTGTGTGCATCCCACGCAGAAAGCCTCCAGGCTAACACAAAGTCAGTCTGATAGAACGCACGACATAATAGGACTTAATGACTGTGGCCCAGTCTGATGCTGGGCCATAGTTCATGTTATTTCCTCATTTTGGTTTAGCTTGCCTTCTCTGACCCTGGTTATAATGAATACTCTTCACGTTTCACTGCTGCTTCTGGAGTCTGTCCATTCAGAAGGACAAATGTAGGAAGATTCGAATAAACGTGACATTTATGAGGCAGACAGTCTTTCTGTTGGACTGGAGAACATTTAGTGGCTCATTCAGGGAGTGAACAGTCAAGAGTTTCTCCACTGCTAGAAATCTGAATAAGCAATAAAAATGCTTTGACTCTTTCAGGGAACACAAAAACACATTTAGTCAATTCAGAGCACGTCTTTGTTGACTGCATGTTGTCTTTCATAACTTAGTTTTTTTGTGTCTGTTTTTATGATGAACAGCACTTTGGACTGCCTTGTTACTGAAATGATTTGTACAAATAAACTTGATTGACTGCTGATTATGGACTAATCCTTTCAAAAGTGGCTTAGTGACTTTGCTGATTGCCTGATTAAAAGTTAATTTATTAGTTCCATCAGTTGTTCAGTCTGTCCCGAACCACTGGTGGACATTGTGATTGCGAGAAAAAATCTGTTTCATAGGTGAATCTCATCATTGTTCTGATAAATTATTCATGCTTCAGAGTTCGCCCAATGATGAAAAAGGGCACTGTAGATGTTAGCTTATGCTGAGATGGTTTCCACTGAATATCGATTTGTATGCTTGGTGTTTAAACTATTAAAACAACATTCACCACTGTGAATACCGGAGATATTCATTCCACTAGTAACATCTAGAATGTTGTCAAGTTGTTACGTAAGGACTTCAAACCAGCCTTAAACTTAGCAGGGATTTTTTTAGCCATGATGAGAGTTGTGGATAATCCTTCTGACTCAACAATTAACATGTTTACATCATATGAGAGAAAGATGGTGTTTTATGAAAATACATCTGTTTATTTTTTTGCAACTCTTGCAGACTTCATCTGATAAAAGAAAGTCAACATTTGCCTCATTAAAGGGATCCGACAACTGCCTCATTGTCATGGAATATGACGGCCTTATTGTCAGTCATATGTTTCTTTCAGCTTCTGCAGATGGCGCTTTCATTGTAATTGACAGAGCAATGGAAAAAGGCTGTAGAAGTGGGGAGTCACACTTCTAAACTTCCAATTCCCTATTTCCCATACCACCCAACTCCAACCAACTTTGCTTTTCTCCTTATTCTCTCTGAGTGATGAAAGCAGCACACCCGGTAAGAGGCTGGCAGTCTCAGGAGGCAGATTACTGACATGACAGCAAGTAATCAGTCTCCTATTCACCCTAACTCATGGGAGTGGCTATGGAGTGGAGGAACACAAGGCTACTGATAGCTGCAGGAAGGAGACTGAAACAAGATTCACATGCAATCAATGTAAAGATGATCACAGCTGCTACATTACTGTGGGACATATCATTGCCAGATACAAATAAATGTGATGTAAGAATTGTGTTAAACTCTGCAAGACCCCGTTCCTTGTTAAACAACAGATACCCTGGTCTTATCGTCATTTGTCCTGAATTTTATCGTCTAACACCTCTTAACATTTGAAATAGTATCAGATCTGCTGGTATTTTGGTATAAACAGCAGCTAGAAGCAGAAAAATACCTGACATTCTCAAAACTGGAATCTGAGTACTGTTATTCACCCACTGAGAAACGAACCCTCCCGCACAAATACAGTGAATCTAAGGGAGTAAATTATGAAAATATCATATAGATACAGAGCAGAAAAATAAAATTATTAAATATGGATTATTGAACATAAAATATCTCTGCTGATTTGCTGGTTAATGACTTGCTAGATGTGATAACTAACTGTGTTAGTAAAGTAATTACTAATAAGTCAGAACATAATCTTATGAGTCATAAGATTATGTTCAACATAATCCTTCTGGATTATGTTAAGTCAATTCCTAATTATTTAGAAGCAACAACTTTTCAGTCAGTCATTGTTCTGCTGCATGTGTGTACATGAGAGTTGTTAGTGTTTAACCCTCAGGGTCTGAAGGTGAAATATGTATCTTTTATAACAAATGTTTTGTAAAAATTTGTTAAAGGTGTCGCCACGCCGTCACAGTTTGATATGAGACAGATGATCTGTAGCCAGATCTATCTCCTGACTGAACTTCTGCTGCTGTCTGGAGAAATGCATTCCTCCTAACCAAAAACAACCAATCCCGAGCCAGGAGGAGGGGCTTAATGCTGTTCCTCCTCTTCATGTGCTCACTGCTGAATGTGCTAAAACTGGTTGCTGTAGAATCTGCTGATGGGAAAAGCTGTAGCGATAGAGGAGACCAAAGGGGTAAAGGGAGTAAGTAGCACCACAGGGGATTGTGATTGACAGCCTCCTATTTCCAGTAGGCAGCAGAGGAGCTCAACTTTTTCACAGATTATCTGTTTCAAAATGTTTTATTTTATTATTTTTTACATATAAAAGTTACATACTGCAGCTTTAACAGTGAGTTAACACTAAGGGTTAGTTTAGATCAGGACTTATCTTGGCCTACTTCCTGTTGTGAAGCAGATTCGTACTGGCCTAGTAATACCTGGGCCAGTATGAATTGAAGAATGATAAAAATCAACTAAAAATTGGTTTATTAATGCTACTTTGAAGATTAATAAGACCTTTTTAACAAAGGATTGGTTTGGATTTCAAAGCTTTCGTCCCCTA